AGTACCTGGTTTAACCGTCAAATTTTTGTAGGTATGCACGGCATGAGTTGCATACGCCTGTTAGTGTTAGATTGATAGAGAAAAATGCTATTTCAAGCAATACCAGACGCCTTTTACCATAAGACATGCCCGAAAATTAGGCATCTCGAGTGGTATGTTGTGAACAAGGTCACATCCTAAATTAGCATCTATTAACAATCTGCACCTTTAAAAATCTGCATTTCCGCTTCTGCACGGAAGTTTTTACGCAGAAATTTGGCCATTTTCTGGATTTCTGAAAGCCTTTTTAAACAATCCACTGTCGATTCTGTTTGGAGAGTGACACAAAAGTATTAGGAGACTTCTTTGACATGTGTGATGCTCGTCCAGCTTCTGAGGCTGTTAGTGTAAATGTCCAGTATAGAAGACTGTAACAATTGCAGCAGGCCAGTATCGAGTGGTTTGTTTTCCTGAGCTTTCGAACTCTTACAGGAGTCGGTTTTCAGAGATAAGAGGCAGCAATCAAGAGGAGGGCAATTATAATGGACCAAGGCCAATCAAATGTCGGAGATCATCACTTCGTCAATAGGGGAGGGGCAATTATTGTGGTATACGCTAATTAACTGTCAGTGAAGTCGGGTCGTTCGTAGTCATAAACAGCAATAAGTTTAGCAGCTTGTCCCCATGATAGAAGGTCCTGGTACTCTTGCCTCCCCTTCCGGCCGGTTCGTCTTGGGGTTCTCTTTGCTTGCAGTTCTTATGTTAGGTTACACCTTGTTCTTACCTATAGTCGATTTGCGTATGCCGAATGCAATTACCCTTCTTTTGGTTGCTGCTTATTATTTCTGAAGATGGACATATGTAAGAGTTCGAAATCTCAGCACAATAAAAAACTGCTTAGTGGACAGCTCTTCTTTCTCATCCCTGCAAATAACTGGAACCCGAACCTGACTCGGATCCCACAGAATGTCGGTTTTACAGCCCGATTCTCCACAAATTCACAGGCCGCACTGATGGCGAGGTCCGTTTCCTTCCGTCAGTCTGTAACCCTCCAAGCCACAGCTTTTAATACGGTTTTGCAGCCTGAATCTCCACACAAACACAGGCTGGAATTACAGTGAGGTTCGAGTCCTTCCGTCAGTCCAGAACCCTCCAACCCACGGCTTTATTGCGGTGCCATATGGTCTTTCGTGGGGAAAATGCGCTGAGACCTCGACCCTACTCCCCATTTCATTGTCAGGTCTACGTTATTGCCCGGGTCGGTCAGTTGACTGCTGGGGACAGGGGGTGCACTGGCTGGATATTTTGTCTGCTAATGCAAGCGAATATTATTTTATTATCAAAAACAATGAAAGCTGTGCAATCCAAAGGAGATAGGACAGTTAAAGCCCGCGTATATTTCTTTTAAAGCCCGAAACGGCACATTGTTTTTACCATGCTTGCTTACGTCCTATTTGAAAAAGAACTAGACCATTATATTAGTAAGGCACTCAGAAATGACGAGATGGTAGAAAATCATTCCGTTTTGCCTTGGGGTAAGTACCGCGCATGTGCTTTTATATTTGAGCAACATTTCTTACCGACAGAGACCAGGAAAACTAAAGTGACCATTTCTGGGTCATTAGCTGTCATCAGCCAGCCCTATCAAGCTCTAGGTCTTGCAACCGCTGCACCTATAATATCCTAGTCAAAGAACAGCTGTTGAGGGAGGGTTTCGCTTGAGCAATAAAACTGTACTGGTATATTATGTCCAGGTGGGCGCCTGCCTACCAAAATTGATAATTTCGGTTTCAATCAACAGGTCAACGAGTCCTTGGCTCAATGTTTGGGGCGTTGGACTTCTACCGAACGAGTCACTTGTTCAAGCCTCAGGGTTTACTAAACCTGAGGCCAGAGAGGGCTGGCTGATGATGTTAAATAAGTCAGAAAAAGTCATTGAAGTCCTCACAGCCTTTTTGCTTATACTATACTGTATCCCTTTTATTTGTCGTCAACACTATCTAGCCATACAATCACCTATTACGGATGTCAGGACCTCTGCCGAGGCCTAAGCCGGAGTGGGACAGAGGAGTTCCGTTAGCGGTCAGGTTAACGTCCATCAGCAAGTGTTCATATTTCCTGAGTTAAGCCAGCGAGACAACGAGATCGTGGTTCAATGGTTAGGGCGTTGACTCTGATTAAAAGGGTCGCGACTCCAAGGCTCGGGTAGGGCACCACTTGGGTCTGTGTGTGACTAGCTGACGACGGCAAATAAGCCATAAATGACCATTCCAGTCTCTCTTGTGTTTGCCGGCAATGTTATCTGCCTATAATACCCGAGCAGAATCAACAGCGATTCCGTGGTTCTGGACGAAGATGCTGGACATATAACCAGCAGGTCACGTTTTCGAACGTCATGGGTTGCAAAACCTGGGTTTTGAGTACGGCTGGATAAAGACGGTTTATAAATCAAAATAGCCATTCCAGTCTCCCTGGACCTTGTGGATAATATATACCAAACGGTGAGGTAGCCCAAAAGTCTCCTATGCACTGGCTGCATGTGCGTGTAACTTATGCCCGGCAGATATCACTCCATTACCTACGGTATTAATGCTTTCCAAATGGATTATGGTATTTTTTAAACCGCAGTCGTCCAAATTAAAATTTAATGTTCAACAGGACTGCTGTGTTATACGCCTGAGAGACAGGTATATACAATTAAGGCCAAAATCGTGCAACTTTCATGATGAAATTTGACTTGGTAATTTAGCATATATTTGTTCAAATTTTTTCAATCACTGAGTTGAATTTATTCTGGGAAGGTCTGCTAGTTAAGAAACTCACCATTTTAGTTAGGTTTATTAAGAGAAATAGGCATTAATTTTGGCAAAATTTGGAGTAGTTCCATATTGAAAGAATTTCCTATGCTAACCAAACAGAACTGCACCTTTTTTAATGTGGATAATACTATGGAGGAAATCCAAAATATGTAAGAATGGTATAAAACGTATCCTCTCGAAAACTGAAAAATGTTGTCCGAAATATTTGAGATGAGAGAAATTTCAGGTTTAGGGAATCGCATCTATTTTCGGAAACAAGGAACATTTCCAGTTTTATAAATTATTTTTTGCTATTCTGTGAAGTGTTGTGCCAAAAAATATAGTAATAAATTTGTACGACAAAATTTGTTTAACTGCACGGATAATCATGTGCGTAAACTTGATCTGTAAACGAGAACGCGCGACATACTTTCACTTGTCTGTGTTGGGCCGTGCCGTGGAGGTTTCAAATCATTTCCTATCTGAAGCTGTTTTTGTCCGCTTACGAATTTTGGCAGCCGAAAGCGGCCGCGCAATTCATTAGCTAATATGTTTGATACAAGCAAGGCCGCAGTATCCAGAGTTATTGACTATAAAACAGTGCCCAGAAGAAGAATCCTAGGCATAAACGGTCTACAGCAGATTAGGATGACGTCGCACACAAAAAAACACCATTTTATGCCCGTTAGAGCTATTAAAAGGGAAACTTTGTCAATGTTCTCTCGGACTCTAGAAAGAAACAGAATGCGGGAATTTGGCCTTCATCAGCAGATCGCTATGATTAAGTAATTTTTAAGCAGACAACTTACTGGGGAACGTTTTCTATTTGCTCAGGAATACGTTAGTCACAGACTTTCATTTTGGTCATATGTGGAAAGGACTTCCCCTAAGAACGCAGTGATTCGAAATCAACATTCAAGAACTATCGACGCCTCATGGTTTGGATGACGGTCAAGTTCAGTGAGTGACCAATCTGGCGGTCGAAAAAAGATACGATTAACAGCAGCCTCTATGTCAACATTGTCAAAGATGTATTTGGTTATAATGGCATTCACAGGGGTCGAATGGACATTGTCACGCTACGAGACAATGCCCCTGCTCACCAATCAAAGGAGGTATGATTATAATTTACCTTACGATCATAATCTAATTTCTTAAGACTACAGCCACCCTTTCGCCTGAGGCCTGAGAACTATTTTTATTCCTCCGAACAGTCCGGACCTCAATCCCATTGAAAATCGGTTAGCCTTAATCAAGAGAAACTTGAACGTCTTATCGCAGTGGCTTTAACTAATGGAGAGAATCCTTGACACTGGGAAATTTAGGCCGGGTTCCGTGTGGGAAGATAAGAAGTGAGACGCCAGGTGGCAGGAATGGTACATGCTGTACAGAAATAATGGAGAATTTGGTTGGCGGAAATTGACATCCAGGTGAACGCATTTACATGGCCTTGAGGGCGGTGTCCGCAGTTGCACTGAAGTCGTTACGGCGCCTCTAGCAAGACCATGCATAAGTCAACCTCAGTTGGATGATAGGCGAGACTGGATTTGGGACGGCAGACACCGCTGCGTAGTCATTGCTGAAGGTTCAT